TCCCCAACAGATTTTACAGTGATAGCAAATCAGAATCTGAGAACCTTGAAAATTTTGAGAAAAACGGATTAGAAAATCTAGGATTCCAGCCTGGCAGTTGATTTCAGAATCTGAAGACTTCAGAAATTCAGAATTTCAGAATCTGCAAATTTGAGAATATTGAGGTCGTAGGATCTTAGGATCTTAAGGTCTCAAAATCTTGGAGTTTTCCATACCTCAGAATTTTAGAATTTCAAAATTTAAAATTTCCAAATTTTCGAGTTTTCGAATCTCAAAACCTTGGAATCTTAGAATCTCGAGAACTCAGAATCTATAAATATGAAATCTGAAATACTAGGGATCTGAAAATCCGAAAATCTTCGAGTTTTAAACTTTTCTATAATTTCAGCCACTCGGTGTGTTCTTCGAGACCGGATGTGACTGCCATTTGGCCATCTGCATTTTGCTCACGATTCTCGGATACATTCCAGGAATCATCTACGCTTGCTATGTGATCTTGGACCATTAAGTTCTGGGTTATTAATTTTATTTGTAAATTGCAATAAATTGTACTCTTCTTATCTTTTACAATTCAAAAAAATAATCCCTCACCATCAAGAAAATCGTCCTACAGAAAAAAAAATCAAAAAGTCTCATGATTCATTTTTTTCCTGGGTGATTCATCCCCTGAGACGTAAACGTGCACAATCATAAAAGAGACCAACAAGACTGTAAATAAGAAGAAAAGAAAATGATGTCATGGTGACCCAGAAATAATTGATTTATTATCAATTAGATAGTTATCTAGGCGAACAAGAAGAAAAAAGTGATAAGAGTTCTTGGAGAACTATTCTAGAAAATTTCGAGATTCTGAAAATTGGAAACGATTTTTTTGAAAATGTGAAGAAGGGTAAGAAAATTCGAAAAAATTCGGATGTTCGCAAATTATTTCAAGAATTGAAAAAGTGTTTTTTTATTATTGGAAAGTGGAGCAATTTCATTGAAAGTTTCAGATTGAAAAATGGAAGTAAAATGACACAAGATTTATTTTTTTGGGGCATTTTTTGAGGGTTTACAAATATGAAAGTACAAAATATTTAGAGAAACTATTCGAAAAGGTATTGAAGAGCTTCTGGAAAATTACAATGAAAATTTGAAAATCAAATAGCTGGGAAAGAATTATTTGAATTGTCTTCACAAAACAATTCTGGGAAATAAACAAATTTTCTGATTTTCTCAGTTTTTGATTTTCTGAATTCTCGAATTTTATAATTTTCAAATTTTCAAATCTGTAAGTTTTAGAATTCTAGGATTTTAGAGTTCAGTATTTCAGAATTTTACAATTTTAGTATTTCAGAATTTTACAATTTTAGAATTTCAGAATTTAAGAATTTTTTGTATTTTTTATGTTCTGAGTTTTTGCTGGGCAGTTTTTCAGAATTTTCAATGCTTTAATTAAGTCTGAAACAGTTAAGAGCTCTATTCAAAAAATGAAGATTTCAGAAAACTTATTTCAGATTTACAAAAAGATAAAACAGAATCCAAAAAACCTTCACCAAAAATCAGTTATCAAAAAAATCCACCCACAAAAAATCCAAAAAAAAATCAAAAAATGATGATACTCCATTTCAGCCCAAAGTTCATGAGATTTTCTCCTCCCCCATGCCACTGATCAAAGTTTTAAAATTATCCCTTTCTCTCTGCGTCTTTCATTTTTCCGTTATCTCTCATCCTCTACTTGTTTACGTGTGTCTTCTGGTGGTCTCGAACATCACTCACTTGTTTATTTGTCTTTTTTGTCTTCTTTAAGCGACCAATGATCAAATATGTTTTTCTATCTTTTTCTCTCTAATTCCTCTCTTTGCCTATAAAATGAAAAACAGGAGAATGGTAAATAGCTGGCTTTTGATACCTTCCGAAGCTTTCGAAATTCTCTTTTCCTCCCTTTTTTAGTTTCAAAATATTGTTTCTTTCTGATCTGTACTTTTTTTCAAAACTGAAAAAAAATTCTTCTTCTTTTTTTTTCATTTTAAAATGGCTCATTCTTTTCCTGTTCTCCGTTTTTTTTTACTTTTATTTTTACTAGGATTTCTGTACAATAACTTTTCTCAGACTCTCGAAAAACCCCAAAACTCTCCAAATCCTAAAAATGGCTGTCACTTGCATGGACATCTTCAAGTTCCTCTTCGCTGTCATCTTCCCAGTGAGTTTTTTTGTTAAAGAAAATTTGAAATTCTGAAATTCAGATTTTTAGGATTTCAGGGTCCTGAAATTAAAAAATTTTATCTGAAAACCAGAATTTGGAAAATTTCAAAATGTTGGAATTCGAGGATCTGAGAATCTGGGAGTCTGAAAATCTGAAAATCGTGGAATCTTGGAATTTAAGAACTTCAAAATTTTTGAATTTTTGAACTTTAGAATCCTAGAATCCTTGAGGCACGGAATCCTGGAATTTAGGATTTTAGGAATCTTAGAATCTTGAATCTTAAAATCATAGAATCTGGAAACCTCAAAATCTTAGAATCTTAGAATCTTTGATTCTGGCAATTCGGAAATTTTGAAATCTGGAAATTTTGAATGAAATTTCGAAATCTTGAAATCTTGAAATCTCAATACCTTGAAGTCTTAAAATTTCAAATTTCAAAATAAATTTTTTTCCCGATTCCCGAAAGCGTCTTAAACTCAAAAAGTTCAAAAAACTGGATTTCTGGGATATTGGGTTTCTGAAAATTTGACAGTCAAGGAACATGGGAATCTTGAAAACTGGGGATCTGAAAAATCCAAAACAATTGGAATTTTATAAATTTTATATAATTTCAGCCTCTCGGAGTGTTCTTGGAGACAGGATGTGACGTTCATCTTGCCATTTGCATCTTGCTCACAATTCTCGGCTACATTCCAGGAATCATCTACGCCGTCTACGTCATCGTTGACAATTAGAAGCCTACAGTAATCCTGTAATCAATTTTGCCATTCTTTATCTCACGATGCATTCTTCTCAAGAAAAAATCCCTCGCCCGAATTCACTGATTACTTGTAACGGTTTCATTTTTTGTCAGCAATCAAATTCAAAAAATTGTTTGAAAAATCAAAAAAAATCGATGTATGTACATAACTTGGCTTTATTTCAATAAAATTTGCATTTGAAAAAAATTGTTCTGAAATTTCAAGTTTTTAATCCGTTGGGGACCGTTTCGGTTTTGGGAATATATTGAAAGTTTTAAAATTTTAAAATCAAAACGAAGGAGTTTTTTTTAATTCAAATTCGAATTCCCGCCACAATTTTCAAGATCAAAACTTCGAGAATTCTTTCTAGAAATTGATCCTTGCCCTCTCTTAAAACTTATCATCCTTTATCATGCTTATCATCCGTTCAACTTCTTCTCATAATCTTCTTATTCATACAAAACACAATTTCATTCAAAACTGGAAATTTTGTTTGGAAAAAGGTGACAAAAAATGCTCAAAAAAGAATCACAAGGTGATGAAAAAAGATCAGGGGCAGGGAAAGGAAGAATTTTGAAGAATTATTTCGGAGCAAATTATGAAGCTTATGATTATTGATTTATTGATCGACGATGACGTAGCACGCGTAGATGATTCCTGGAATATATCCGAGAATTGTGAGCAAGATGCAGATGGCCAAATGGTAGTCACATCCAGTCTCGAAGAACACACCGAGTGGCTGAAAATAGAGAGAAATTGAGCATTTTTAAGGAAATTAAGAGTTTAAATTTTTTAATTTTTCACATTCGTAGTTTTCCACAGAGTTGATTCGATTTTAATGTTGAAAGAGGCCAAAAATAAGGGCGGAAACTATAGAAAAATTATAATTTTTAGTTTCAATATTTGACATTTTGGGGGTATTTTGAATTCCAAGTTCTTTTCCCAGATTCATAATTTCTTAGATTTCAACATTCCTATATTTTTTCCCGGTTTCCAGAAATTCTAAGTTCTAAGGTTTCCAGATTTCCAGATTCCAAAATTCCAAAATTATGAGGGTTCAGAAATTTTCTAATAAAAAAAATCCAAACTCCTTATTTTCAGATTCACCGATCCACAGAATTCTCAGATTCCAAGATTCTAGAAGTCTAAAGTTCGAAAATTTCTGGATTTTTGATACCTAGATTTCCAGATTCCTAGGTTCACAGATTTCCAGAGACTCAAATTCTAAAATTCTAAAATTCTAAAATTCGAAAAATCCAACTCACCGGCAAAAGAATCGCACACAAGAACTTTGGAATGTCGGTGCAAGTGAGAGCCATTTCGGGACGGAATTCAGTAGAGAGTAGTACTGCAAAAAATTATAATGAAAGAAGAGGAAACTTTGGGAAAAGCTCAGAAAGAAGCTGAATAAATAAGGGAAATTGGAGAGGAAAAAATATCAATCGGTGAGTCAGAGAGAGCGAGAGAGAGAAGAGACGCAGAGAAACAAAGGAGGTGGGATGAAAACGATTTGTTGATAAAAATCAAAAAGAACCGACAAAAAGAGTTCAAAAAATCATCAGATAAGACAAATTCGGTTCAGAAATTCTGAAAAAAAAACGCCTGAATTTCTAATTCTAGAGGCTTCAAATAATCAGTTTTAGGTTTGGAAAACAGACTCAAAATTCCGTCAAATCTAGAACAATAAATATTGAAAAAAGCGATAAATTCTGACTTCCAGGAGGAAGGCTTTTATACAGCCGGAAATTTCGAAATTTATTCTAATGATCGTTATGTTCTTTGTTTATTGTTGTTTTGTTTTCAGGAAAAACGTTCCCGCTGTACAAGCATCGTAGATCAATAAATAGATCAAAAATACAAATTGTTGATCTGTGTTCTTTTTATTATTGTTCCTCTTCCCACATAATCATGGGATTGATCTTTTTTTTTGATATTGAACGATCTCTGATGTGAAACAGTGGAATCGGGGGGGCTGAAAAAAAAAATTGAATGTCGGTTTTTAGGAATTGAATGAAGCGAAGTTTGAAAAAAAAATCAACATGATTTTGTTAAAACATTTCTAAAAGATGAACTTGTTGAGAAACTATTAAAAATACCAAGTGAGCTACGCGATCGTATTTTCCAAAATTTACAAATTCAATAAATCTTTTGGCTTCATTTGATTTTTTATCCTTTTTATCGCCTAGGTTTATTGAATGGTTCAAAATAATATTTTTCGATTCAACATTTGAGATTTTCAGTTTGTTTTCCAATTTTGAATAGTTCAAACGGTCAAAGCCACTTACCATGCATTTAAAACTGTATTTTTGCCTTTTTTACCGAAAAAAGGAGACTGGCTTGGAAATTGTCGAAATTATTTGTAGAATAGGAGCGCTATAAAAGATAACAAAAATCTTCAAACTGATAAAATATTGGTGCTATTATGATAAATAATTTACCAGCTGAAACATTTTCGATATTTCTCATAGCGACCGAGTTAATTGGGCTTAAAAAAGACTCGTATACGGTGGGCTTCTTTCTTTTTGTTCCATTAGATCAATTACGGTATTTTGGAACGGGGGCATTGCAGGTTTCAAAAAACTCAAAAAAATATTTAAAAGTTTCTACAAAGCAAAACTCTCAGAATCGAGAAAATTGAGGGGCTTTTTGATTAATCTGTCCTTGAAGTACCGGATTTGAACAGGTGTAAAAACACCAATCCAGCCAAAAAATACCAAAGTTACATGATACACCATACAAATTTCCTCCTAAGTTTTATACAGATTCGAACGGATGATTCCCCGTGCTTAGTGTTTGCAAAACCAGTTGACTCACAACTTTTTTCTGTTAAACTAGACTATCCGTCTACCCCATGACTAACAAAAATGATGTGTATACATTACCAAAAGGTCATTTTATTGGATGGTGAATCATTGAAATTTCGGAATCAAAATTTGCATTTGTTGATGAGTAGTGCCGAAAATGAAAAAAGGAAAATATTACAAAAATTTAAACAAATTTTGAAAACAGGATCAGGAAGGGAATTTAAAAGGAACATTGTATGCTTACAGTTGGCTCGATAGGAAGGAGAGCAAGGTATGATGCGGGGTATTAAAGTGGAGAACTGGAGAGAGAGAGAGAGAGAGAGAGAGAGAGAGTCTCTATTTACATAATAACACACACAATAATACTGACTCACTGGCAACTTGAAAACGAAGAGTACGGAATGATGAAATAGTTGAAAAAATATGTGGTGCAAACATGAGGGACCAAGATTATGAAAAATGGAGAAGTACAAAAACATATTTTCAGATTATTTCCGGTCATTTTGACCATTTTCAGGAGTCGGGAGCTCGGCTGTCAAGTTTCCGATCACTTTGAAAATTTTGGAGAATGTAAAACAGAGCTCGATTGGAAACTTTGAATTCACATAATTTTTTGAAAATCCCAGACTTTCTGCTATTTGCCGATTTCTGAAAGAAACCTTTTTTGATCCGTTATTTGAGAAAAATGACCTGGAAATCTTTTTTTGTTTTTTTTTTTTCATTTCCCAAAATTCATTCCAATAAAAACATGTGAATTACAACCAACAAGAGTAAATTACATCATATTTATTCATAAATTACAAACATAGTATTCTGATAAACAATTTATCCATTCAATTCATTCATCAACATCCTATAATCGTCATGTAAATGCACATGATGCATCTCACAAACCAACAATTCCTCATGGAATTTTCTCTCGCCCTTCTCCACAATACTCAAGGTATCCACAGTGTCAATAAACTGAGTTTCCTCATAATTTTTATCCATTTGATATCCTTTTAATTCTCGGAAAACCAAATTTCGAATGTTTCTACACATTTCCGAGCACTCCACACTAATATTGGTATAAGCTGAAAAAATATATGGAAGTTTAAAAATGAATAAATCCTTTTACCTCCATCAAAAAGAATCAATAGCGTCAGCGCCATATATTCCGCTTTATCGAAATTTTTTGCATGAATCGGCAGGATCACGTGTTCTCCATAATAAGCTAACAACGGCCCGAATGTTCTGGAACTTCTCTTGTTTAAAAAAATAATTTTCGATTTTCTAGTTACTTCAAAATCGCTTCTGGCGTCATTCGATATTCATACGGCATGGAGTATTGATAAAATTCCACAAGCATTCGTTGAATGTCTTCTAATCCTTCAAATTTCGAATATCTACGAATATTCATCTCCATATCGATTGCAGCTGTTAAAACGGACCATTTGGGTAGGAAGTTTCGAAGCATTGCCTCCTAGAAATTTGAATTTTTAGGCGAAATATTTAAATTTTATACAGTACCGTTATACGTTATACGTTATAAGTTATACGTTATATGTTGTACGTTATACAGTACCCAACTTGAATACTAGAATCTCACCTTATCCAAATGCCTCAAATTATAGGTCACTGATGGTAAAAGACCTTCAACAATTTTCCATATCATTCGACAGTCTTCTCTCATAAGACATGACAATTCATAATAATTGGTTTGGTCCAAAGTCTTGTCAAACAGCAAAAATCGTTTGGGTTGTATACTTTCCCAGTTGAATGCAGTTTGGGATATGGTCGAACAGTTTCTGGAGATGATTTGGAGCTGGAAACATGAAGGGGCTCACTCAGATCTAATTTATCTAGATTTCCGTAAGAGATATATAAACATTGTCAACTGAAAAAACGTTAGAAATATTTTGCTATACAATTTGTCAGTCGATCATTTTCTGGTATTGTTCACAGGAAGCGAGATAAATGTATTCAAAGTTAGAAAAACTCGCGGGTAACGGAGAAATCGGAAGAGATGGGGGACTTGAAGATGTTGAAGGAACAAGTTGAGTAGATTTTCCCGGATCCAGTGGAAGATCTGATTGTTGAGAGACCTTCTTTCTAGGTGGATGCTTTTCCCGCTTGACTTGAACCTCTGAAAGTTTCCACCATGTTAGCTACAATATTCTTTAGTATTTTAGTAACCCATAAACCAAAAACTCACTCTCCGGATCCATGCCCGCTTCCAGGCACTTTAGAATCCGACATTCTCTACACGGATGACTATTTCGGATTCTGAATTGACAAGTACAGGAAGCATCCAATTTTTTGGAATGGAAGTAACGACGGAAGAATGCGGCGCAGGCTCTAGAAAAAAAAATCATACAGTTCGGAGAATTCGAAAATTCAAAATCTTCGAATTCGAAAATCCACAAATCCTTAAAAACTCACAAATTCAGAAGCGAAAGTTGAGGATTTTTCGGGAAAATTCAGAAATTCAAAGAATCCGAAACCCAGAAAATCCGAAGTTCCGAAACTCAGAAATTCCGAAATTGAGAAATTCAAGAATACTGAACATCGGAAAATGCGAAAATCAGAAATTTAGAAATCCTAAAATGGAGAAGTTCAAAAATCCAGAAAATTTTAGTTTTGAAATTCTGAAATTCAAATTGAAAAATTACAACTCACTTGCAAGAAATCCCTCCGAAATGTGGCTCCGTGTCTAGAGAACCACAAACATGACAGGACATTTTTTGTGCCTTGAAATGCTGAAAATTTTAATTTTTGACAAGTTACCGATACAAACCGAAAAATAAAAAACTTGGCCCAAACCAAGTGATTTTTGTACAAAACACATTTTTTAAAAATCAAAATTTATACCGGTGAATTAGACGCACTTTGGCAGAGATCATTTTTTGAAAAACATTTTGGCAATTATGTACATGAAAAATCAATAAAAGCAATCAATAATTATGTTCCCTAATCATTAATCGATAGTCATCATGAATATGCACATTGTGCATTTCGCAGAGCAACAATTCCTCCTGAAATTTGGCTTCTCCTTTTTCCATCAATTGTAAAACATCGATAGTTTCAATAAATCTCATTTCCTCCACATTTCTGTCCATATAATATCCTTTAAGCTCTCGCATAATCACATTTTTGATTTCATAACACATTTTGGAGCATTGCTCACTTAGATTTGTATGGGCTCCGTCGAAAAATGTCATCAAGGCGATTGCCATATGTTCAACGGCATTGAATTTCTTGTTGCAAATTGGGAGGGCAAGGTTGACACCGAAATAGCGGAGATTTGGTTCGAAGATTCTGAAAATTCAGAAATTTGGAAATTTTATAATTCAAAAAATTATAAATTCAGAAATTTAATTTTTTACCTCAAAATATCATTTCGGTCCATTTCACATCCCTCATACATAGAAGCCGAGTAAAATTTCACAATCATATTAAAATAGTCCTCTGCTGTACAAACGTCTTCATAGATTGCTCGATTCTTATCAAAATCAATTGCAGAGACCAAAATGGACCATTTAGGATGAAAGTTTCGGAGAAGAGCATCCTGAAAACATTTTCATAGGACAAACAGATACACAGACAGACTTACTCTATCCCAAATCGTTAGCTCTTGGAGTTGAGGAAATATGAGCTCAATAACGTTCCACATGATCTCACAATCACCTTTGGTGGCCATACAAGTCTCGTAATAAGTCACTTCATCCAGTCGTTTTCCATAGAGCAGGTCCCTTTTTGGTTGTATACTTACCCATTTTGAAACCACGTGAGAGATGTTGGAACTGTCTCGAGGAATGACTTGGAACTGAAAAATTGGATTTCAAACATCGTCAACTCTGAGGCAATTTATCTCATTGGCTGTAAAAGATACCAGAAAGTGTTCAACTGACAAAATTATCTTGATAATATAAGACGGTAGAAATTTGAAGAATTTTTTTCTCATTTCTGAAAACCGGAATTTCTCAAATTTTATGTACAAAAAGAACAGAGTTAATAGAAAAAACAAAAGTTTTTCGAAAAGTTTGTCTTTTCGACAGATTTCGTCCAGTTTCGTCTTGCCTTTTTATTATTCAGAAATTTTCTGTATGAATATTCCAGAAATTAGTCAAAGTCATAGAAAATGTTTATTTGATGGATCTGAAAATGATCTTGAACGAAAAAATAGGTGGACAAATTGAAATTGGACAGTGTAGTAGTAGTATTATCAAATCCAGGTGACAACCAATCTTCCTGCACTTTAAACTCCTTGTTGCTCTGTGTCTTCTTTTCTTCTACAGGTACATAATCGGTTCGCCTCCCGATTTTGTACTTTTTTAAAGGAAAAAGTGGTCACGCCAAATTCAAGTATTATTTGAATTGTGCCATGAGAGGGAACAAAATCGGTAGGCAAACCGATTCTGTACCTAGTGAAACAATTCAAATTTTCTCTGATATCTCACGTGTCTTTTTGTGGATTTTGAAACATTACTCATGAAATCCGATTTTGAACCAATTTTTTGATCGACACTAACTTTCTACAATACGCTTATTTGGGTGAGAGTGATATCGGAAATTTTGGATATTTTGAGACTGCTATCCAATATCCAATCCGCTAGCCAACAGTCATTCCGACGTCCACAATAAGTATCATCATAAGATGAGAAAGAATTCGGGTCGGGGATATACTTACTGTTAACGTCGGATTAGCCTCAAAATATCCAAAATTTCAGATATCACTCTCACCCAAATAAGCGTATTGTGGAAAGTTACTGTCGATCAAAAAATTGGTTCAAAATCGGATTTCATGAGAAACGTTTCAAAATCCACAAAAAGACACGTGAAATCAGAAAAAATTTGAATTGTTTCACTAGGTACAGAATCGGTTTGCCTACCGATTTTGTTCCCTCTCATGGCACAATTCAAATAATACTTGATTTTGGCGTGACCACTTTTTCCTTTAAAAAAGTACAAAATCGGGAGACAAACCGATTCTGTACCTGTAGAAGAAAAGAAGGCACAGAGCAACAAGGAGTCTAAAGTGCAGGAAGATTGGTTGTCACCTGGATTTGATAATACTACTACTACACTGTCCAATTTCAATTTGTCCACCTATTTTTTCGTTCAAGATCATTTTCAGATCCATCAAATAAACATTTTCTATAACTTTGACTAATTTCTGGAATATTCATAATTTTTGTACAGAAAATTCAGAAATCTGGTGAAACTGAAATAAAGGCTACATGGTACATGAAATCATCAATTCGAGCTGTTTCTATACATGCGTAAAAAATTCTTCAAATTTCAACCGTCTTATATGATAAACATTTTGTCAGTTGACAATTTTTCAATATGTTCTACAGGAAATGAGATATATGGAATTGACAGAGTGCTCACGATAACTAAAAAATTGCTATAAAAAAATACCGGAAGTGGAGACAATGGGAGAGAATAGGAGCATTGTGAGGGAGATGAGGAGGATGAAGATGATGTGGATACGAGTTGTAGAGCTTCTTGGTCAACTTTTGGTGCTTTCTTGGGATGTTTTTCTCGTTTGCATTGAACTTCTGGAATTTTATGGTTTTGACATTTTACAGTACCTCTCCAAAATATTCAAATTCTAGATGATTCCCTTCACTTTTCCCTGTAATACTAGCTTTCCAAAAATTCACTTTCCGAAATGTTCTAGTTTTTTTAATATTCTATTTTCATCTCAAATTACTGGTAGCTACAGTAACCCAAAAACAATAGCTCACTTTCCGAAGTCATGCCTGCTTCTAGACACTTTTGAATCCGGCATTCTCTGCACGGATGACTATTTTGGAATCTGATTTGACAAGTACAGCCGGTTAATGATTTCTTGGAGTGGAAATAACGACGGAAGAATGCGGCGCAGGCTCTGGAAATTAGAATTTTGGAATTCTGAATCTTGACAGCGTAAAATCCCCACCTACAAGAAATCCCACCAAAATGAGCTTCGGCTTCTGGTGCTCCGCACACGCGGCACGGCTCCATTCTGAACATTTAAAGGCTGAATAGATGGAAAATTCGGGAATTCGGAAATATGAGAATTCAACAAGGCAGATGGACTAACTAAGAAGCAAAATGTTGTATACAATGAATAAAACGGCAGTAAGTCTCAGAAAAAGAAAAAAATGAGCTCTTGGTTCTTTGTCTGAAGCTCAACGGGGTTGCTAGGGAGCAGAGCAAAGCATACATCACAGAAGCATACAACACAAACATCACTGAAACTTGGAAGCAAAAATAGGGGAAATGTCAGTTTGAAAGGACAGGTGTGATATCAAAAAATCACCTTATCAAGTGAAAAAGAAGATCTTTGATATGTTCGTTTTTGAACGGCAGCTTTGATGAAGGAGAAGAGATGGAGGAAGAAGATATTTGTAGGTGAGCTCGAAATATTGGGATCTCATTTTATCTTTATTTTCCAGAACATTTGGTCCCCTTTGGACATATTTTTATCGCTTTGTTGTTGAACCAATAGTGAGGCTATCTTTAGATCGAATGGAGTTGAAGGCAATTATATGGATTCTATTTTTTGATCATGGTAAGCAGCTAGATCTTTTGAACCCCTTAGGCTAACCAAGAACATTTCAGCATACAACGATATCAGTTCAAAAAGTACAGATCTTTGCTGGAGTATTCGAAAAGTGATCCATCGAGAGTTGAGGAATTATTTGATAGAGAAGTTCAGCGGAGATGTGGAAACGGCTGAAAATCGATTTTTGAATTTACTGGAAATCCCAATGATTGTGGAGAGAGGAGAACAAAAATTTCAAGAAGAAGTTGTACTTTTTCAACTAAATCGAGTCAAGGTGCATGAGGATTTTGTCAAAATTATGAAGAAACAGAGGATTTAAATTTTGTGGTTTTGTTTGTTTTGTGAATTATATTTATCAATGTACATATGTTTTGTTAAAACTGTCAAATTTGGATTTTTCTCTTTTTAAATTGAGATTCAATGTAAAAATAAATTCAAATAAATTTTTGCTCATAGTCAGTGTATGAATGTTATGTGTCAAAAGATAAGTTTTTGAATTTTTACCGAATGAATGTATGAATAAATTTTTTCGATCCACTTGACAAACTCCTAGTTTCTTCAAAATATTCCACTACTACGTAAGAAAGTTCGAAATCCGGAGAGTCGTTATAAAACTGAAACAGTTGAACTAGAAATAAATTTGAACGAATAACAACTTGCCTCTTTCAGAGCATTCAATTTTTCAGCGGAAATCGTCTCAAAGCGTAAAACAGATTGCGAAAAATGACGAAAATGCTCCAAATTCAAATTTGTCGCATTGAATCCAAAAGACATTCTTTTTGAATTTTTCCATTGCTCAGTTTCAAAAATTTGGTCCATTCCAGAATATATTTGAAGTGTTTGACCAACAGGATAAATACGGATTTCTTCAAGAACTTTTGAGTCAATCAATGGCAAAATTGACAAAAAGTGAGGTTCTTGAGTTCCCGAAATTCTCAATATTTCCGTTTGAAATTTTTGGTTTAGAGGTTTGAAAATAGTGATCAAAGTTGAGAAGATAATGTTCGAATTTTGTGAAATGTCAAATTCGAATGTTAAAACTTGAAGAATAGATTTCTGAAATTTTAAAACAAATTGATAAACTTCAAGAACTTCATCCATTTCAAGATCTTTTTGATTAGAGTGCTTATTATTGTTCCCAAAATATTTCAAAAACATTCTTTGAGAAATCTGAAAAAAGGTAATTTTAAAAATTCGATTTTTGAAAAATCTCACCAAGTTGAAAAATCCAGGTTTCTCCTTTTCAAAAGACTCCTCAATTTTTATTTGAGATACATGATTCCAGATAAAAGTCATTCGAATCATTTCTTCATTTTTCACTAATACATGAATCTTTTCAAATTTCGAATCCGGCAATTTTGATTTGTCCATTTCATTTATAAAATTTCGAAAATCTCTACAAACTTGGCGAATAGTGAATCTGAAAACTTTCTTTTTTTTTCAAATTCAGAATGTTTCGAAAAACTCACACTGCTCGAAAGTCCAAAAATCCTATAATATTTGCTATTACTAGCTCAGGCATTCCCAAAATTGAACACATTTTTGAAAATAGTTGAAAATTCAAAAAAAAAGGAAGTTTGTCGAATTACATCACTCGTTTTTTGGTCTCAGCGTTGACAGAAAAGAAAGAGACGCTGAGAAAAAAAAGCGAATGATGAAATCATATGAAAAGATGTCTTTATGATCTTTTTTCATGATGATTTCACTGTTTTCCGATTTCGAATATTATTTTTTCCAGCCTGCTTGGCTCGCCTTCGGCGCTTCTAACTGGCTGGTGCACCTTCGGCGCGATTTGACCTTTTTTTATATATTTTTTGGTCGCTGCATTCATCACTTTTTCTTAAAGGGTCACGTATGTCTATATTTATTTTTCAAGTTTTTTAAAAGTGGGCACCCTGACACGGGGACCAACAACCCCCTCAAGCGTTTTATATATACCGTAAACACTCTATTAGAAGTCAAATCCTAACTTTTAAGTTTGAGCCAATTTATCTAATTTTTTGTGAGAGATATCATAAAGTGGTCAACTGATAAAACGTTGCTGATATTATGATAAACATTTTGTTAGTTTACCACTTTTTGATAACTTTCACAGGAAATAAATTAAATGTTGATGGCTTCGGGGGCATTCTATTAGAGTGTTTACGGTAAGGAAGATGCTTGTCATAAAACGATCAGAAAAAATCAAATTTAGAGTGACCTAATTTTTTCCAGATTGTTCAAAAGGTCAGCAAGTACAATAAAAAGTAATTTCCTCTCGTACTCAAACCCAATCCTTCATCCACTTTTGATCGGATTTTGTGTGATCCCTCGATTCCCAGGATTCGGTGGACGTGGATGAAAACAAGAAGAGTAAGAAAAGGTTTATTGAAAAGCGAAAAGAAGTAATATTTTCAGTTATATAACTCAGGACCAGTCTTTTCTCCGGATGACGCAGAAGACTCGGAGCTCTCGGAAATTTTGGATTCTTCTGAAGGTTCGTAATGCTCGTAATTTCCTCCACAGCTGGGGCACGGCAAGTTTGTACACAGGAAGTGTACCGGTTGGAGGCATTCCTTGCTTCTCCGCCATTCTGTGAACTGGGCATCAAACCCTTCCTCGTGCATGTCGGGGTCGAGCTCTGGGTCCCTCTGAAAAGTTGATTTAAAAAGAGAAATTTGAATTCTATTACCTTTTTGCATACATTGCAAATAGATGGGTCTTTATGGACTGGAATGACACTAGAAGAACGTGCTTCCTTACGCTGCTTTTTTCTTCTCTAAAATTGTTCAATTTAGTTTTTTTTTTTTCAGAATATTGAACGATCACCAGAAGCTTCGACGGATTCATCGTTTTTCTGCACGTCTTCTGGCGTTTAGAGGCGTCATGTCGAACTGGAAGATATGCAGAAGAAGGACCAGGTATGTCCTCTACGATGCATTCCATCGTAATACTTGAAGTTTCAAAAAAATTTCAATTCGCTTAGTTTCTCTTTCCGGGAAAACCTGAAAACCTTTGTACTGAAAAATGTACTCAAAAACAAATTTTTTGCAATGTTTTATTGCATGTTTGAACCCTTTTCGGAAAAAAAGCGACTTTTGGGCCAAACTTTAGGATTTTTGAATTTTTGTAGGAAAATCACTGAACTTGGGATTGTTATCCTCACACGATGATTGAGAAACATACAAAAGATGAGAAAAACTTCAATTCCACGAAAATTGGGAAAAACTTGGGGAATTGTGAAAAAATGGAAAAAAGAGGAAAATGAGGAAACAGTAAGAATACAAAGACAAGAAAAAATTTGTAGGCACAAAATTTTCAAAAAGATTCTGAAACTTTAAACAATGAGGTACTAATTGCTTCGGATAATTTCGACAGCATTTGGCAAGAAATTAGCTTGAGAATTGGCTGAAAATTGGCTGAAAATAGAGAAAAATTAGCGATGGCCGAGAAAGTGGGAGTTTTCTCGGCCACCCCCGGTGTAGTCCTCGTGGACAAGCAATTTGGTGTGTCGAAATCCGATCGCGTGACGGGCCGTCAAAAATGATAGCGCTTTCTTGACAGTTCATCATTAAACAGGTAATAAACAATAGAAATTCTTTATTAAACTAATAGTTTCTGTGGATTGTGTATTGTATTGAAAAAATAACTCCAAAATTTTCAAAGTTGAATTTTTATGATTAGAATGAGAGAAAACACATAAGAAATTACAAATTCTATAGGGAACAGAACTTCGATTTTCTATTTGTGTTTTCGCAAAATTCCAACTTTAAAAATTCAAATTTTAAAATGCGAAGATTTTTTTCTCGTTCCTTTCGTTCTTTTTTCCTTCTTCGTTTCTCGTTTCCAATTTCTTTCGGTTCTCAGCATTTCTCTCATTGAACAGTATTTTCCGCTTTTATATGACTTTCTTTCAGAATAAGTAAAATTGATGAGTTCGTAACATGAATTGAGCACCCAAAAAAACTGGCATATGAAAAATCTTTACGTGTTTAAGGCTCAGCGACATTTTTAGCAGAGACTTCAAAAGTTCGACATATCGCATGTGATATTTTTAAAGCCGATCGGAAGCAGAAAAAGCAACAGATCATCGTATAATTTTTCATGCGCGAACCTTGCAAAGCTGTTACTTTCCATAGCACTTGCAAACATCACACTTGCGAAGTGTCGGCGAAGCGAATTTTCGGCAACAGAATGAGAAAGTTGAGAGATTTCGATAGTTTTTGCTTCGGAGCATATAAAAACTCAACACATAAAAACCTCTGCAACGTTAAATTTGTTACTTTCCGAAGCAAAAACTTGCGAAACCTTAGAAACTTACGGCGAAACGAGTTTTGACCGATTTTTTCGCATTTTCAACTAAAACGCGAGGAAGAAAGTGCGCGAATGTTTTTGATGCTTTTCTAATGCCAGTATTTAGATAATTTGAGCGAAAAATACTGAATTTCAATGAGAAAACACTTCGAAAAACGAAAAAAAAACTGTGAAAATTAGACGAGAAATTCGTTGAGTCTTGTGTCGCTAAACAAGGCGCAGGCGGAATTTCGGAGTGTCGTTGCGAACCGAAATTCTGAAACTCGTCAGCTAAAACGGCAATTAAAAACGAATTGTCGAGATTTTTGAAGAAAAAGAAACAAAAAGAGAACAGCATTATCAGACGAAAATTGTACAACGTTTTCAGAAAAAAATTTCGTCGGAACTCTTCAGAAAATGGGAAAAGTATGACCGGAAACACGTGCCTTAAACGGAGGATTATTATCACGAAATGACAACTCCAGTTACGATATTTTAACAGAAAATGCGAAAACATGCTTTTATATGGATACCCAGGAACATTCAGAAATTCATTTTAGAGCGTTTTTTTTCCAGCCGCCATCCACCAGTCAGCGTCTCTTCGACTGTCATTTAGCCGTTTTTCACCAATCGCGCCTCAGATTCTAATTTTCGTAGAAGTGCTTCTAATAACACATTTTATAGATTCCCAGATCCCTCTATGACTTTTATCATGTTTTAAGAGAAACATCTTTTTTCAACCAAATTTTCCATTCTGCAGAAATTTGGTCCGCCAACCACCGGTCATTGACCAGTCAGCGCCTCTTCGACTGTCATTCAGCAGTCGTTCAACAACCTATTTTTTGAGGTGGTCCTATTTTAGGAAAATAAGATTCTATCATTTCCTATAATCTAGTGGGGGTATGAGAAATTGTTTTCTGAATGATTTCCAATCAAAACCTTCAAGTCTGTTTTACAACGAGTTCCGACTGTCCGTCGACGGACCGTCGACGGCCCGTCAGTTCTCAATCGGCTGCCAACTAGCAGTCATTCGCCAGTTTGCGCCTCTTCAGCTGTCATTTAGCAGTTTTTCAGCAGTCCCCCTCTACCTGTGTAGGCAGCGCGTTCGGCTGTTAACCGAAAGGTTGGTGGTTCGAGCCCACCCGGGAGCGAAATATTTTTTTGGATCTCTTGGATTAGTATCTAAAAATGTCATCAATTGAAATTTGCCTCTCAAAATAAACCGCTCACCACCATGAGATATGCAATTTTCGATATTTTCATGATTTAAAAAGTTTTTTTTAATGAAAGATGTTCATGATATTCGAGATTCGACATTTAAGAATTTTCTGAAAAAGACTGAAAACGTTTAAAGTTTTTCGAAAGTTAAGATATGAGAAAAGTGTGGGAAATAGTTTTAAGAAATACATTGTTTATTTGAAAATAATACAAAACCAAAAGTATTGTGAAACCGAACTGTTATTCAGTCAACTTGGGCTTTTTGGTGACTTTCTTTCCATGACTTCCTGCGTTTCCACCTCTTCGACCACCATTTTTGGAATTGAAAAAGAATCTAGAAGCCAAATGTGAGATTTGTTCGCCTTCTTGGACGTTCATCACACTATTGTCTCTGATGGGTACGTTAGGATAATGTTGCGGCTCTGAATATACACACACACAATCATCCAGTAGAAAATCAGGGACTAGTCAAGGCTGACTATTATAAGACTTCATAAAATACTTCTTACTTTCAGTCACTCACCATAATTCGGTTGTCCCTGAACTCCAAACGAGCTGATTACAACCAACAGAGCAGCAAAGAAAACGACGAATTTCTTCATTGTGAAGAATATGTTTGACGGTTCAGAGCCAAACTTTTTATAGTGGCTCGAATCGAAAATTTTTTGTACTCACATGATGATGTTTTTTGTTTTTCCGCCTGTTTGTGCTATTGAGCTCACTGATAAGAAGGTCAAATTGCGCTCAACAGTAACAAACATGGTTTAATGGTGTCGCCCACAATTATCTTCCATATTCACGATGACGCGCAGAGAAAGAAAACCAGTCCACAACGTCAATACTTTTAGAGGGGGACATTGTCTTCAAAAAACATCCCGCCGATTTTCTCAATCGCGTGGTTAATTCTTGTCATTTCCTAGTAAGCCCAATGATTATACCATAAAAGCTTTTGGAGTGATCTCCAGAACGAGTCACTAATATTTCGAAGAAAAAAGTTGAAAGAGCATCGTGGTTCTAGACTGAAAAACAAGATAATGCACTTTGCCACCTCAACCAAAACATTGGCTCAAACTAAAAATATTGATGTTATGAACCGGCCCGTTTGGCTGACGCTTCATTATGGATGAGGAATTTAACAATGCCCTCTAGTCGAAAGTAATTGTGGGCGACACCATTATACCATGCTTGTTACTGTTAAGCGCAATTTTACCTTCTTATCAGTGAACTCAAAAACAGAAAAAGAGAAAATAAAAAACAACATGTGACTACAAAAATTTTCGATTCGAGCCACTATAAAAAGTTTGGCTCTGAACCGTCAAACATATTCTTCACAATGAAGAAATTCGTCGTTTTCTTTGCTGCTCTGTTGGTTGTAATCAGCTCGTTTGGAGTTCAGGGACAACCGAATTATGGTGAGTGACTGAAAGTAAGAAGTATTTTATGAAGTCTTATAATAGTCAGCCTTGACTAGTCCCTGGTTTTCTACAGGATGATTGTGTGTGTGTATATTCAGAGCCGCAACATTATCCTAACGTACCCATCGGAGACAATAGTGGGATGAACGTCCAAGAAGGCGAAAAAATCTCTCATTTGGCTTCTAGATTCTTTTTCAATCCCAAAAATGGAAACGCAGGGAGTCATGGAAATGGAGGCCAAGGAACTGGACTAGGTCTAAGAAGCGGAAGAGGTGGAAGCAAAGGAAAGAAAGTCACCAAAAAGCCCAAGTTGACTGAATAAAATTTCGGTTTCACAATACTTTTTCTTTTCTAATAAACTTGCATTTCTCAACCCTGTTTCTCGCACAGATGAAAATTAATATACAAAACTCTCTGAATGAAAATTAATATACAAAACTCTCTGAATTCCAGTTTAGAAATAAAAACGTGTTCGGAATTGCTGAAATTCAAAGTTTTGAAACCCGAAATAGGCAAGAATTCTACAAACTAAAAAAATTGCCATGTTCTTTCATGTATGAATTTCCAGAACATGTTTATAACAGAAATACGAAGAAGATTAAAAATTAGTCCATGAGGCATGTTGTTGCTTGGAATTGCTGGAATTCGTTTGATACGGTGCAACTTTTCGCTTCTTCCAGAAAAATAAAAATCTGATAACAGTATCTCGATATGGCTTGATGATCAGGATAGTAGGTAGAGCATCAATCGCCAGGTAGATAGAGATTGTCATGGATTGTAAATGACCGATTGCAGGGATGGAACTTCTTAAAACAATGGTGGATGTGTAGATCATAGTCATTGGGATTTGCATGAAAAGAATTGGGATGATCGCTTGAGCCACTAGAGCGTAAAATAGTTGCCATTGAAGGCGTCGGAATTTCGACGAGCATCCGGATTGGTTAATAAATGATTTGGTGGCTTGGAAGCATTTGAAGGCAAAATAGATCATGGTGAATTCCGAGGCAAACTAAAAAAATAATTTTTTAAACATTTTTAAATTTGTGAGATTTGCTCTAGATCTAGACTAGATTTCAAGAATCTCTTACCAAGGTTCCAGTTGTCACCGACACTCCAATAAATGATTCCCAATTTACAATCTGTGTTCCATTATCCAGTTTTGGGTAGAAAATCAATCCGATAAATCCAACGCTCTCGATTTGGTGATCTGTGTAGCCGACGGTTCTGGAATGACCAATTTTGTGAAGTTAAATTTCAAATTCTGAAAACTATACCTCATAATTTTTTTTGTATAATCATTGCGCTGCATAAACGCGTGCACAAAATACGAGTAAAATGACGCCAGAACCGCCGGAGTGCCCAACCAGAAGATGAAATTTCGAGGGGTGCTAGCTGTCCAGGAACTATTTCTGAAGCATTTCAAATTGGTTGGATTATGAAAGTTCGAGAAATGTTACCCCTTCAGAACATGATAACGATAGGCGAATTGGCACCCAAAGATGACAAGGGAGACAGCAAATGCACCGCAGTAGATTACTGTAATTAAAAAAAAATTAATTTTAAAGAAAAGAAAAGTAGATTTGCAATTAGGAGGCTCTACAGAAACCAATACTAGCAAAAAAAACTTGAGAAACTTCAAAAGACTACAGTAATCCGAGAACTCTGAAAAAGTTGGATCTGGAAGAGCATCCAACAGAAATTGAATTGTTCAAAACCAGTCGGTTTACGCCCCCTGTCGGGGGCTCAACCTCCTGGTTTCCGCTTTCTGTAACTTACAATTTAATTTCCAATTTAAAAATTTTCGAGTTTGCGAATTCACCAAGATTTGTGAAAGTTTTGCATACTATCTATTTTCTTCGAAGAATATTTAATTTCCCAAATTTTCAAAATTTCCAAACTATTGAAAAGATCTTTTATGTTCTGAAATTCGGAGTATGTGAACTCCCGGTTTCCTGAAGTTTCAAATTTTGGATAACAATGTCAGGTTTACTAAACTTTCTGTTCTACGAAAATTCTGAATTTCGAAATTTTCGAATTTTGAAAAACAGTCGGTTTGCGCCCCTCCAGGCTGAGCCTCCTAGCTCCCGCTTACAGTACCCGTTGTCTTATAGACAGGGTTTGTCATTTTTCGACGGACTATTTTTTCCTGGTCTGTTAGGAAATTTCGAAATTCGATATTTTGGTTATTTAGAATTCCAAGAATTCGGAAAGTCGGAAGTAAGAAAATCCGGAAATTGAAAAAGTAAGACACTCGCAAGTTCAGAGATTAGTACATTTTAAAAAATCAGATGTAGGAAAACATTAATTTTGAAATCTAGAAAAGTGTTTCAATCTGTATATCTGAAATACCCAAATTTTGGTATATCAGATTTTAAGGAATCGGAAAATTCAGATTTTCGCATGCTTACTACATGCCGGGCTGGCCTGAAACGGCCCTGTTCGCAAAATTTATAGAATTTCGAAAAAGTTTAGAATCAAGAATTTGAGAACCTGAAAAATTAGAAATTCAGAAATTCAACTTTTCGAAACACAGTCTCGTCGAAAAGTTTTTGGAACTTCGGAAAATGGGAAATGTAGATTTCAGAATTCGAAAACTCTAAATTTCGAAAATTTTGACATTCCGAAAATTGAAAACCTGAAATGTTGGAAAATCTGAAACTTTGAAATTTTTTGGCATATTCGGTGAATAAGATCTCAGAAATTTATATAGTCCGAAATTTGAAAGATATGAAATTAAGTTCGGAAATTCTAAAAAGTATTCTGAATTCTGAAAAATCGAGTGATCAGAAAGGGCGCTGTTATTTTCCCTCGCATTCTGTTTCTTTCTTTTTTTTTCCTTTTTTTTCTTTCTTCTACACTGTTTCAGAATTTTTTCTTCCTTTCAAATCTTTAAAAGCCATACTAAAAGAATATTTCCACAAAAATCCTTTCTCTCAAATATAGCGTGGATAAGAAAAAAATTTGGGCGGTTAGATAGAAGTGACGTGAATATTTCTTCAATATTTTTCTAAAATTTGCACTGTAGAAATAGAAGAACGTCTCCAGAAGACGTCAGACACAAAATTTCGAAAGATTAAATATTCGGGCATCATCTCGCTGCTATTTCGGGTAATCTGTGAAAATTTGGGAAAAGTTGGTTCATTCTGGACTTCGTTAGGGAAGGTGATACGGGAACAAACGGACACACTCACACACAGAATTTGGTGATTGTTAATAGTAAAGATAACTAGAACACAGTACTCCGGAATACGGTGGGTTTGGAATTGAAAGGTTACAGTAATCTTACAGTGGCCTAAAAGCTTTCCTAGGTTAGGATCTACAGTAACCGAAACTACAGTTATCCTGGCAGTGGGGAAGTTTTGGAAAAACAACTACAGTAATTCATGAAGACATTAAATTCGGAAGCTGAAAAAGTACAGAAATCGTACAGTACCTATAGCTTTAAAAAAACGGAATTACTCAAGTCTATATGAATTCAGGGATGCGATAACTTGTTAAAGTTCGGATTACTGTGGGTTTGGAGAATCCGAACTTCACAGGAAACCAGAAAAAAACTAGATTTAGATTTGTGACGGTATACACTAACCCAAACTACATTTATTCAATAGAACTCGAAATGTTCAAAAAAGATCCAGGGATACTGTAGAATGGCTTTAACAGAGCTACAGTGAAGCTGAAGTAACCCAAACTACAGTAACCTAGGTTGAAAAAACCAAAATTCTTCCACGCTGAGGCCGATTGCCGCGCGCTGTATGAAAATTGATCATTGCACACTATCATGTCAAAATACGTACCGGAACTCCGAAGAACTGCCCTCTTTTGAGCCAAAACTAAACTCACAATCTGCCACTTGTGACCATTTTTCTGGCAACAACGATTTCTCGGGATCAACAATTATAAAGAAAGCATAGTCCAGAGTTAACAAATCGGGAACTGTTAGAAACTCCAAAACAATGTAGAATAGTTCGAAACAGATGATATAAGCCATTAGGTACTTATAGAGTCCTAAATCTTTGGGAGATCGGAAAATGATAAGGTTTATCAGAATCAAGTTGGATATTAGTCCAATTCCAATGAAGCAACGTTGAAGGGTACTGTAGATGGGCTCGAGGGAAGAATGGCGGGACATGATGGCTTCCTGGAATTCAAAATATCAGAAGCTTTATAAAAATTTAGAAAAGTAGGCGGACCTTAATAAACATGAAATCATAATAACTTTGTGTTTAGCTACACGGAACTACAAAAAAATAATTTGGCACCAAAAATCACAACCCGTGAGATTTTTCACTCTTGAGAAAATGTGCGTGAGTGTCTAATGAGTTCATTCAACTATGAAAAGACCAGATACAAAAACGTAGACCTTTTTTCGTTTGATCAAAAGGATTTTTGATTTTAAAGGCTCATAGATAAAGGGAATATATTTTTCAAAACAATAACATAGCTGATTTATGATATTTTAAAATTAAAAAAAAATACCAAAACAACAAGTTCATTGTTCAATTGAATATGCATCCATGACTTTATTGAAACAGAAAAAAGTTATCAAAAATACGGTACCGCACTTTAAGCTCTATTATCTCGGTTGCTTTAAAACGTATCGAAAAGTTGTCAACTAATGAAGTATATATCATAAAATCACCAATATTTTTGTATTTTACAATTTTTTGATACCTCTCATAGGAACAGAGATAAGTGAGCTTAAAGTGCACGTACAAGGAGGGCTTCTATTAAATGAAATACGGTATTTATCTCCCATCATCATGACCATGCGGTCCATCTCCATGACTTGAAGTATCTCCATTTCTACAGCATTGGATACACGGATTTGGATGTTCATGATCTCCATGCTCCTTTAAAGGGGATAGATGTCCAATATCGTGCTCCGACCCACCAGATCCACTACAGTCGCATTTTGAGCAAAGATCGGGACGATCCGCGTGAAAATCTGAAAAATGTTAGGTTGTTCGGAAAGTCCTTTCCACTTTTGATATGTTGTTTTCAAACTTCGTTTTCTTGAAGGGGATAAAAGCGAGGAAGTTGTCGTTTTATCAGTATGCTGGTGAGTTCTAATATTGTCTACACCCCAACGGAGATCATTCTCCTCTTTTCGTGCAGTGAGATATGCCCACCGTTTTCGCCTCTAATAATTTCCATTTTTGGACTACCATTTTATTTGTATTTCTATCTGACCTCAGATCAACTGAAATCAATCACCAATTTGTGGAGGTTAACAAAGAAGATGCACCCTTTCGAACAAACTTCACAACCTGGATTCATCAATATGAAAAATGAAAATTCTCGTTGGACGAAAATCCCCTTCCAAAAAAGCATACGGGCTCAGATTTGGACGCATTAAAAATCGGGATTGAAAGAGACCCGTCTCAAACTGTGCGGGATATATCAAGTACGTCAGTGGCAAGCCTTTCGTCAAAAAAGCCATAAATTGGGAACTCTCGGCAAAGTAAAAAAAGTGTGAAGATATGGATCACACCTTTTCGCTCAAAGCAACTTTTTTCCTGGGTGGGCACCTGTTTGAATCTTCTCATCCTGCGTTGCACACATGAATGTTGAAGTTAAATCATTACTAGTGGCGATAAATGGGTAATGTATGATTACTATAAACAACAATTCAAGTGGGTTGACAAAGGCACTCAACCGCCAGACGTCCCGAAACGTGAAATTAACGTTAAAATGGGATGTTTTCGGCATGGATGTCTACCAAGGAGTGGAGTATTGGGAGCTGCCAGATAATGGTGTCACTTTTATGACCGATACCTATTTTTGGCAGGTGACATAACTCAGACTCCATGTGGATCTCCATTGGAGAGAAACACAAAGGTTTATTTTCAAAATCGAAATTCGCAACCTCATTCGGGAAGGAGAACGGAGACCGATCTCACTGGATACGGCTAAACGGTTCTGTCTTATCTACAGTAAAGTCAAACCTTGTACTGTCTGACTACCCCCTATCTAGCCATTTCTACCGGCATCTTGATTGAAAAAAATTCACTTCAAAGCATGATGTCAAAAATGGGTTGACCTGATTTTCAATGCGCTGTGACCGGAGTTCTGGAAGGAAGGCATCCACAATTTGGTGGGACGTTGGCAGATAGTCACTGATAACAATGGTCATTATCTTCAATTTATCTGACATCGTTTTGACCTTTTTTATATCGAATGAATCTGACGCTAAAAATGGAAAGGACTTTCCGAACAACCTAATATTTGGCGGCTGAGAATATTTGCTTCAGTTTTCCTATAGAAGGCTCTTGAAGATTCAAGCTTGTATTCCAAATATTAAATTTTTCGTGGCTCAACAAGCTAAGCTACGCGGTTGAAAATTCGGCTGTCGTCCTCTATAACTTTGAGTTGAACTATCTCAATTTCTATTAAAGATATCAAAAACTTGTCAATTAAAGGTGGGGGGACATGAAAAAAAAAAAATGTTCTCGAAATTTCGTTTAAATATGCCCCTCGAGGAGTTGAACTTGTTGGGGCGATGATTGAGGGTGCGGCGCCGCTACCGACTGAGCTACACGGGCAAAGAGAAAGCGTTCGCCCGATTGCAAACATAAAGGCGAGGACGACAGCTGTACGCAGAGTGACATTAAGCGTTGTACACCGTCACGGTAGAATGCATACTCTGGCCCCAAAAATCCCCCGTAAAATCTCCTGTACCCCCAGCTTTAATGAAATGTTTATCAAAATAACACCAATATTTTTGTAGTTCACAAATTTTTGATATCTGTCACAGGAATCGAGATAATTGAAACCAAAGTGAAGGTAAACGGTGGCGGCCTATTAAATTGTTTACGGTATACTGTACATAGACCTAAACACTAAACTTTGTACTAGCATAAAATTCAAGTAAAGCGTTGTACTGTGCTCAAATTTAGAGTGCGAAAATATCAATAATTCATCAGTAAACTAACCAAGTTTCCAATTATTTTATCAACTTTAAGCTGAGTTATCGCTTGTCAAAGTTCTCACTATCAGCTATCATTTCATGAAACTCACAACGGACATTGAATGGTCATAACAACACCTAGACTAGAGAAATCGCTTCGGAATTTTTAGTAGCTCTGAATCAAACGTAAAATTGCATTTCTACCAATTTTCGTGCTCCTCAGGATACTTATGTCTGAAGATACACCCGTGTTTACCAGTCTTGATAAGTGTACACCACCCGGTACAAAATTCTATGTCACATCAGTTTAAAAGTTGTATTTTGAAGTGAATTATGACCTAAAATCCTACCTTGAATAGCCAAACACTCAGCAGCTAGCAGCGAGAAGGCAAGGATGATACGAATCATTTTCATTTTCAGCAGAAAATGTTTATTTTCACATTCCATTGCCGTTTTTATATTGGTAATTGTTATCAATAAGTTTCATTCATTCCTTCCTGTTTTTCAATACATTCAATTCATTTATTTTTAGGTTTTTTCAGATTCAAAACACATCAAAAATTAGACATCGACGGTTGCAAAGACTTTGAATTGCTAGAGTTTGTTAGCCTTGGCGCGATTTTTTGTTTCCTCCAGAAGCAAATAACCCTGACTACCGTATCGCGATATGGTCTAACTATCAAAATAGTAGGAAAGGCATCAATAGCAAGGTAAATAGGGATGGTTAGAGATTGGAAATGGCCTATTTCTGGAATGGAACTTCTGAAAACAATGGTAGATGTGTAGATCAGGGTCATAGGAATTTGCATGAAAAGAATTGGAATGATTGTTTGAGCAACAAGGGCGTAGAAGAATTGCCAGTGAAGGCGTCGAGATTTCGGAGAGCAGCATGAGCGAATAATGAAGATTCTCGTGGCTTGGAAACATTTATAAGCGAAATAGATCATTGTGAATTCGGAGGCAAGCTGGAAAAATTATATTCATAGAAATTTAGAATGAAATCTCTCTTACCAAGGTTCCAGTGGTCACCGATACTCCTATAAACGAATCCCAGTTTACAATTTGCGTCCCATTCGCCAATTTCGGATAGAAGATCAATCCCAGAAATCCGAACTTTTGATCGTTACAGTAACCCACTTCTCTGAAATTCCATTATCATTATTTGGTTCAGAACGGAAAAAAAAACATACCTCAAAACTTTGTCTGTATACTCATTCCTCTGCATAAACACCCATACAAAATATGAATAGAATGACGCCAGAGCCACTGGCGTAGTAAACCAGAAAACGAAGTTTAATGGGGTACTGGCTGTCCAGGAGCGGTTTCTGAAAATGTTTAAATTGGTGTTGGATTATGAAGTTTGGGAAGTGTTACCCCTTCAAAACATGATAACGATAAGCAAATTGGCAACCGAAGATGACAAGGGAGACAGCAAACGAGCCGCAGTAGATTACTGTAATAATTTTCTTGAGATTCAAAAATTCAAAAAAAAAACTCTGAATCCCAACAATCTTAATAATTCTTGAAGCGCCAGGAATCCTAAGATTCCCAAGAACCCTGAAAACCCTAAAGATCCTAAAAACCCTGAAAAATCTTCCTATAAATCAGAAAAATTCTAGGAATCCCAAGAATCCTGAGGATCCTAAGAATTCTAAAAATCATAAGAATTCCAATAATCCCAAGAATCCTAATGTTCTTCTTTCACACTACATTATTCCAATGCCTAAGAGCTCTTCTATTAGAGGGACTTTTTATTACAAGTTAAGATACTCACAATCCGCTGCTTGCAACCAACTTTCTGGCAAAAAAGACTTTTTCGGATCCATCATCACGTAAAACGAAGAATCCAAAGTTAGCAACTCAGGGACCATCAGAAATTCCAAAACGGCGTAGAATAGTTCAAAGCAGGAGATATAAATCATTAGATACTTATAGAGCCCTAAATCTTTAGGAGATCGAAAAATGATAAGGTTTATCAGGAGAATGTTCGCAATCATTCCGATACCAATCATGGATCGTTGGAATTCATTGTAGATTGGGTCCAAGTCGGAGTACATGATTCTGAGTAAGCTTGGAGTGAAAATCCTCAAATTTTGAAAAAAAAGAAGAACGAAAAGTCAGAAAAGGCTTTCCGAGAAGATCAAAATTTCAAAGAGCACGAGACCATCAGGAAGTACAAAAAGACATGAAAAAAATCACATCAAAAATCAGAATACATTCGAATAGTCAAGACGTACACAACAAGGTTAGTGAGCTCTGAAGATCAGATGTCTAATGAGAAAAAACGTAGTAGCTTCTACGTGAAAACAAAACAAGACAAAAAGTCATAAATTACTTCCGATTGAAATGCTGAGTGGGTTGGTTGGAACTCAAATAGTCTGAAAGAAAGAAAAAGAAAATTTTCTCAAAGCTGGGGCTCAGTATCCAAGGGTACATCGAAAAAGGGTACATCGGATCAGAGGGTACATCAGATCTTAGGGTACATCTGGGAGGTAAGTTCAAGGGGTACATCTCATGGTGGTTCTAAGAGTACATCAGGGAAAGGATCCCAGTGTACATTGAAAAGTTCTTAGGGTACATCAATCAAAAATACTGTAGTTGTCGACTGGAAGATATTTTGGTCTAAACTGCACCATTTTAATTATTTTTTTTTGTTTGTATTTGTTTGAAAATTACCATTTTTTCATAGTTTTATGGATTGATAGATTTTTTAAAGTTTGTTTTAAAGGAGCTTATTATACTGAAATTGCCAATAGGAAACAAGTCGAAAACTTGATATTTATCAGAACGAACTTTCAACCAAAACCACATTTCAAATGTGCCAGGACAGGAAGCAATGTAAATTTGAAAAAAATTCACATTCTTTCAAACTATTGCGGATTTGTCGGAAACATAATGGTACAAAATCGTTAAAAAGACTACCAAATGAACTTAGTTTTCAAGTACACAAAAACAGAACATTTGGGTCAGACCGAACTTG